GGAAGTCCAACGATTCCTGAACAGTTTTAATAGGTGATTGGGGGCAAAACACTAGATCACATGAGATCACAGCCTAGAAAAAGAAAGCTGAACAAGATTTAATGCAAATTAGACTTTCAGTAGGCAAAAAAACTTTCCTTCTCAAGTCGTTATTTCAGTTGTGAGTAAATTTATTCGTTTCAAGGTTCTTATCTGATCGGCATTATGATATATGCCAAGAGATTATTCCTGATTTAAAACTGGGTCCTCATCCATTAATAAATTATGAAACACCAAACAGGATTTTCTTCTTCCCTCCATCAGAAAAGGTAGAAAGGAAAATGGTTGTACTTCAAAAAGAAAAAGGCGATGGGACAGACTGAAATTGAAGTGTACACATGGAAGCTGTATAATAATAGCTTATTAAGCTAATAGTACAACATTTCAGACGATCTGCAATAAAACTCAAATATGCAGAGCAAATTACCATGTACTGAATAGCAAAAGTACAATTTAAAAATTAGTCTGTGATATTTTTAATTAGAATTTGGGAAAATATTGATCCATGTAATACAATATATTATTAATGCTTACATGTAATAGAAGCACGACCAGAGGTTTGGTGCTTGAATTAGTAATTTATTTCTGTTTTGTGACTTAGAAACAGCTTAGTCTTGAATTCCAGGTGTATGGATGTCTTCCTTTTTGACAATAATCTTGAATCTAAATAAATTGATACAACCCTCAGATTTCTGCTAAAAATGAAAAAAAAAATCTTCATTATTTTTGCTAAAATAGTTGTTTCTGTAAAAATCAAGGAACAGTTTCTATCAATATCAAGAGTTAAAACAGCAACTAAACAGCCATTTGGAATATCTAATCTCTGTGCTCTTTGTCATTAAAATCTCTGGTTAGCACTCATTAAATTTGTTCACTAGAATTCATTAAATTAATCAACCCTGAACCTGAACCTAGCGAAGTTGCTTCTGGTATCGTTTAATATTTCCAAGTATTAAAACATAGCATTAATTTTTAGGCTTTCAAACATGTAATGAGCACAGTTAATGGTTTGTTTTTAAAAAAGCAAACTATGGGGATTGGGGGGACCTTTTTTGCTGTAAACAATCAATGATCGAACCATTAAATGGCATACTTTAGGAAGTAAACTCTTTCTCTTACAACAAAACAGCTCATTCTTCTTTCATCTTTCAAATTTGTAGAAAATTCAAGCTTATTTCCTCTTTTATCCCACCTTTATCACTTATATAAATCTCAAGGTGGCAAACATACCTAATATTCTTCCTCCTCCTATTTTCCCCACACTAACAACCCTGTGAGTTGAGTTCGGTTGAGAGTGCCTGGCACAAAGTCATCTAGCCAGGTTTCATGCCTAAGGCAGGATTAGAATTCACAGTCTCCTGGTTTTTAGCTTGGTGCCTTAACTACTAGACCACACTATATCTCTATTCCCTCTTCTTGTGCTAAGAATGGCCCCCAAAAACCAACCCATTAGCCAGATAACTCAAGGAGTAGTTTTGAGTACAAATGTGGCACTCAGATCATTGAAAGTAGAGTTAGCAACTGTGATGGTAACTGACAGTGTAGAAGACCTCTGCATAATTCGAAGCTGATTACCTATTAAAGGCCCCAAGACAATACACAAACACAGAAAACTTGAAGTCAACAAACCATTACACTGTATTAAAAACATGGTTTCTATATTTTACAATTCCTTCTCTCATAAATACAAGAGTTATTTATTTTCCCCGGCTTCTATTCTCTGCTTGTCATGTTTTCCACTGGTACTTATTTCAGGAGGCATCCGTACATCATGCAATCTTCTTCCCTGTATTATAGTTTCCTCATTGATGAATAGATTGCATTTGAAGCAGCAAATCCCAGCAGTCTCACAGACCAAGAGTCAATGACCGAACTCTAAAGAACAACAGGAAAGATGGAGATTCTTTAACAAATTAAGTGCTGTGAAGTTTTCATTCTGAATCCACTCAATATCTGACTGTGCCTAAAGGGGGAAAAATGCATGTGCATATGATGCCAATGGGCAATGTTAGACATTGGCAATGGCAAGGGTGTCTGCAGGAGAGGTCAAAAAAGTCAAACGGCCGCTATGGCTGAGTAATTGATACCCTGTCCCTTTTTAAAGCAGATTGAGCATGCAATACATATCAAAATCTATGGAGTTTCAATTGGCCGGTTGTGGTTGCATCTTGATTATTTAAAACCTTTCCCTGCAGGTGCCCCTTTGTGCGTGGATGGAGGTGCAATTGTAAAAGAATGAAAAAAATAAAATATTTGACAAAATACTGCCTGAACCTTCTCATGATGAAGAGGATTGCCTGTCGGGAGTGGAGTCAAAGAATCAAGATGGAAGCCATGATTGTGTGAACAACACCAGCCTTTTTTATGCATATGCAACATATCTAAAGGGATAGGGCCTTGACCTAGCAGTTGCAACCACCATCTTGAATTTTTTGCCCTGCTACCACCTTGTCTGGATATGCTAGTTGGGTTCCCAAAAGGCATTAAACTAAGCTCCCAGAATTGTGAGTGGTCCTTCACTGAAGGTTGGCCTAGAGGTGGAGCTCTTACCTCACAATCAGGAGGCTGTGAGTTTGATCCTAGGTAGAGGCTAATATTTGGAATAGGCTCTCCTGCTCAAGTAGGGGGTTGGACTAGATGACCTCCAAGGTCCCTTCCAACTCTGTTATTCTATTATCTGTGCCTTGGTCAAGGGGTTGGACTAGAAGACCTCCAATATCACTTCCAGCATTATTTTTATTATTCTAAGCTAAAGTAGGTTTGGTAGTTTGTAATTTTTTTTTTTTAGAATATTTTGTGAAATAGATTATCTTAAAGCCACAACATAATGTATTTGTTATTACTATATTAATTACATTTTCTTTATCTAGCAGTGCTCCTGGGTTTTTAATAGCTGCACAGTTGGTAGGCCTCTAACAGATAGAGTTTCTACCATCTGCAAATATTACAATTCTTCTGCTTAATAAGGAAAGGAAAGGAAAGGAAAGGAAAGGAAAACCAATTTTATAAATTGATCATTTAAATAAATATAGGTTTCTTTATATATCAACAATGGCCAGAACTTTCCCTTGTTATACAATCACTGTATCTTTTTCTTCCAAAAAGAGCAGTGGTGAAATTTTTTTGTAATATTTGTTTTGCTTTTTACTTGACCCTTCTCTGCATGAGCACAAGGTGACTTCCAGAGAGGACTCCTAAGAAAACTGCAGAAGGAATTCCCCAAGTCCTGGGGCATTTCACTACGTGGGTCATTCAAACATTTGGGACAGCATAGGGAGAACAAAGTGTGTGTGTGTGTGTCCCCCATTTTGGATGATGAGTGGTACATTCCATAAATTGGTCTTCTATCTAGACTGGGTCTTTCCCTGCCTGAGAGTTTAGTTTCAGGGTGGTTTCTTCTATCTCTGGTTTGTGTGTCACTTTATGATGCCACATAAAGATTAAGCCCATCGGCCTTCAGAGCTTCTTGCCTTCTCTCTTAATGTACACAATTCCTCACTTGAAGTCCTATGGCTCATTTTACCAACTTATTTTCCGTTCACTTCAAAAAATATATTCAGATACTTTCCTTCATAGATGGGGTTGCCAGCTAATGGATAAAACATAGATTGGGCCTCCTCTTCTGCCTTCAAGGGATATTTTAATGATAAAAACCAGCAGGGACAAGAAATAGCTTCTTTATTTACAAATGAAATTAAACTTAATTGCAGATTCTGTGAGATATCATAGAATTATCACTCGCACCCACCATTTTTTCCTCAGCTTAAGTGCAACTTAATTTTAAAACATAAGTGATAAAACATAAGTGATACAGCATTTTTCCGTGATAAATAGAAATATAATCCTGCTGAACATTTTTGTTGCTCTTTTACTGTTTCAATTTTTAAACAGTTATCAATACTGTAGGTTTATATCCTGCTTTCAAGGCCTAGACACTTAGAAAGCAACTCACAGAGAAAAAAAGCAATGCATATGTTATATAAGATATTATTCAAGAAATGTAACAATTTACCAATGTTGACTAGATGGGGATTTGGGAACTTCTCTACAACAGCCTAGCCTGCAGTTGAAAGATAAGAATGGCACAATACATTGCAATCTGTAATATTATACACACACAAAAATAACAGATAAGTTTACAAAAAAACTGCCAATTTTTGGGGTTCCTTAAAGGCAAAATTAGTACTGACTGAAAATGTTGTTTACAAATGTAGAAATTTCAGTTACTTTAAAAAAAACAGACATAGCCAAATCAGAGAAAATATCAATGCTCAAAGCAGCATTGCATTTTATTTTTTTCTCTTTGGACAAGCTCTTCTGCATAAGAAATTATCTTGACTATGTATACAGATCATCATGGAACTAGTACATATAGTGTTTAAACTACATATTTCAACAAACTCTGAGAACAACGCTTTTTTTTTTAGCACGATACAAGACAGACTTGACAAATAACATAAGTAGAGTTGCTTCAACAGTGAGATGTCCTGCATATAAATTTAATAAATAAAAATACACTGATGAATCTATAATTGGGAAGAGTTTAAAATATCAACAGTATGTAAGCAAACTGAAATTATGCAAACAGAGCTATTTAACTCAAACATTAAATTTTAATAATTTTGAAATATCAAAATTCTTGATGTTGATACTTGAGTTTAAAACAGGAATCTTAAACATACTTAAAAATAGCAAGATTGTTAGCATATTTAAGAATTTACATTAAGCGTTGCTGTATACAGTTCATGGCCTTGTCTACAAAAATGGCTGTAACATTTCTGAATGCAGATCACAGAATGCGGGCATTGCAATATGCTTTATTATTAATTATGGCACTTCTTACCATATTAAAAAATGCTATTTCTCCCCATGGAAATTGCTTCTCACATGGCAAAGGAGTAGACCATTATGCTTAAAATAGCTTAATTTATACATATTACATATTTCTCTTTCATACACAGCAAATTGTGAAGCAATCTTGCAACATGAAGAAAAGCAGTGCGGTGAATCTTGACAAACTTTTAGAGGACTTCTCACATATAGAAATGGTAAAAGATCAAATAGAAAAACAATAATATACCCAAATTTTTATATGTTTGCCTAGAAAGTTAGCAATTCACTAAAGTCACTTTGAATAGTGAGAAGGCTGCTATATAAATTAAATAACTATATATTTTCTTTCACTAAGCCTTTGAAGTTCCTCTGTTTATGGGTCTGGTTTTGCAGTGGAATAGAACTCCTAATAATTAAACGTGTGAAAAATGTAGTAAGGCATTGTGTAAGCTCTGATCTCATTTAGGAGTTTCAGCTCTTCAAGTCAATTAAGTTTTCAACTGAAAATGCTTTTTAACTTTGAAGTAGAGACAGGTAGTGTTTTCCCCGATGTCTGTCATAGACCGAACCTAATTGTTTTCTCTCAGCATTATGGGGCTATTTTTTCACTCACCTTTTTAATATAACGAGTTAAGCTTCAGGGAGAAGACCCATAAGTAAATAGAAAGAAATTTGCCTTCCTAAGGGACTCATGGAATCCATTTTTTCCAAAAAAATAATCTTTGGAAAAGAGTAATAAAATCTCTTTCCTGAATCCCAACAGTCAGATAACAAATTCTATTAGTGTTTTGTTCAGAAAGTATTTAGTTTCAGAATGGCTATGAAATCAGTCCCTTTAAATTCACCATTCTCTATGAAGCACATCCAAGATCATTCTGGTTTTTATTTTAAGGATCATGCTTTCAGATATCTAATGCTTGATCAAATATCAGCAAACATTCAGCATGTATTTTTTTAAAAAGATTTTTCTGTCAGAATAATTGAGGAGCTTGGAAGGATACTTCAAACAAGAGGTTTCATTTGGAATTCAAATTATTTTCCTACAGAAAATATCAGAACTTCATGGAAAAAATCATCTTCTGAATCTTGAGTTGGACAAAACAAATAAATTGCTGACAATGAGCCAGTCAAGGGAAGAAATGGCTAAACAAGGTAAGCATTCATTTCCTTAGCAGTGTTTACCACCAGACATGTTGGAACCCATAAAATGTGTATATGTATTCTATTTTTGTGTAATTAAAGGTAGTCCAAGTGCAGAGCAACCCCAATATTCTGGCTAGTGGCAATGAACTTCGTTATTGCACCAGCGCCAAAGAAGCTGGCATTCAAAGCATAGGGGTTTTGTAGTGGGAAGAGCACTTCCCTATACATTTTTCACTATTTAAAATTGGAAAGCAGTTGAATCTTTTGGGGAATGAAGTTCACTGCCACTTTAAAATGGCTCTGGATATTACTAGCAGGTAAATGAAAAGAGTCACAGTAACTAAGCCTTAAATCTTTAGACATGGAACAGCTGTCATAATCATACATTTCTTTTTCTTCCATTCGGTCATATTCAATTCTCAGAGATTGCCTGGACAAACCCCTGCAGTTTTCTTGGCTATGTTTTTCAAAAGTGGTTTTCCATAGCTTGTTTCCCAGGGCTGAGAGAGAAGAGCTAAGGAAGGACTAGAAATCATGATCTCCCAGTCTGTAATCTGATCAATACTATACCAAATTGGCTGTCTATAGTCAATCATACATACTATCTTGCTATTTCTTCATGCTCAGATGTATTGCTGTGATGCAGGCTAATGTTACTCCATCTGAAGCAGTTCCCTTCTCTCTACCTTGGCCTCTGCAATGCAAGCACCCTGCATACTCTCATAATAGATATACCGTGCTAGAAAATTGTTGTGCGTTTGCTAATCACTGTAGGACAGTGGAGGTAAACCTATGATACAAGTGTCAAAGGTATCAAAGGTGACAGGATTGATATTTGGGTGACACACCAGCATTCACTTGACAGCAACTATTATTAAAAGTACACTATATTTGAAAATTGCACAATCTTGTGCAATTTTCAGAACTGTGGAGATCGCACAAGAACGGAATGTGCTCTTGGCATGGCCCTTGGATCCTCCAGAAGTCATGTGATCTTCAAAGCCTCTGAAAATTGTGAGACATAAGTGGTTTGCAGAGGCTGCAGAAGAGGATTTTCCAAAGCTAACTCAAGAATGTGGCCCAGAACTGTCTTAGGTAGGTCTCAGGGGTCTGTTCACAGATTGCTTCCCTTTTGTTCAGGTGTGCATATGACATGGCAGCAGAATCAAGCTGACATTTTCTGAACTGTTGACATGCTGGGCCATTTGCCATATGCCACATGGACTTATAGTGGTTCAAATGTTAATGTCCAGTCCAGTGGTGGGATTCAATTTTTTTTTACTACCAGTTCTGTGGATGTGGCTTGGTGGGCATTGCAGGGGAAGGATACTGTAAAATCCCAATTCCCTCCCCACTCCTGGGGGAAGATTACTGCAAAATCCCTATTCCCTCCCCATCCCACTAACCTGCTTTCCAGCCCTGTTCTCCTGTGCAGGGCAATCAAAGGAGACCCAGCCAATCAGCTGGAACTCAGGAGGCAGAGAATAGATGGGGGCAGGGCCAGTCAGAGGTGGTATTTGCCGGTTGTCCGAACTACTCAAAATTTCCACTACCGGTTCTCCAGAACTGGTCAGAACCTGCTGAATACCACCTCTGGTCCAGTCCACCCAGCCATTCAAGGACAGGATAGTCTATGTTGAAAAAAATCAGACATTTGGCTGGTGTAAGCTCTTGATGGACATTTGGACAGATGGATATTTTGTCGAGGAGCACTAACAGTCACACTGAGGGGTAGAGATAGGACCCCACTTAAACAATGAATCCTGGCAGACACCATGTTGGGTACAGATCCTGTTCAGAGTTGACCATGCTGGCGAGGAAGGTCAAAACCTGGCACAAAAGCATTAAACATAACCAACATAACAATCATGTTCTCTTATTCTATCATAAGGAGCAACAATGAAAAAAAACTAACATAATGAATAACTCCATTGTAGAACAGACTCCAACCATAGTATATGTATCAAATGGCCTTATGGGATAGCCAGGTCTTTAATGGATTTGAACCTTTTTAATATATAATCATCTGAACATAGATTATTCCTTTGCTCATTACTTCTTTGTTCATTCAGTGTGTTTAATTTTAGGTCCTTATGCATTTGAAGACAGGTTGAGAATTGCATTATGTGTTAAGCCAACAATTTAACAAATTAAAATATCATTTAAATAAAATTTATTAACCATTATTAATCAGTAATACACAATCAGCAATAATTGCTAACTTTTTCCTGGTGATGTTTCATCCCACCACTAAGCAGGCCCAACTCTGTTGAATCACTAAGCAGGCCCAACGTTTTCAGATCAGCTTAGGTTTGAGACAGACTTTTTAAAAAGAATCATGCATTATTATTTTATAAGCAAGCTTCATCTTGGAAGAAGCATTCTCTTCTCTGTGAAAGATAATGCTTTTTAAAGACAATACCTGCTTCTGTCAACTTTCCATAAATGTGTATATTAAAAGGAACAATTACTCAGAAATGCTTTTTAATTAGTTACTTTATAATTGATCTATCTTGAAATAATATATAAGTGCTAGATAAACGAAGTGATATAATGATAACTGGTAACAATATAAATTGTGCAACATACCTGAATGTTAGGATTCAGTTTTCATTAGAAATATTTAAAACTTTTTTAAAATGCTGAAATAATTAGGTATATAAAGAAAGCTGAGAGAATGAATGGATTGTTCCAAGATGTAGCAGTTACTGCTTTACTTGAACTCCACTTTGGCAACTATAAATGTGAGGCAAGCCCAAGGCTGAAGAAGGAGCAGAAATCCTAAAATATTTAATTGAAGGTTCAAACATGTTATTTCAACCATGTGATACTTTTTCCTTAACAGAAATTGTTAGGCATTTTTAGATCTCTCCAGAATGGGAAAACATAATGTAGCTTTAAATTCTCCACATGTATATTATCTGAACTCTTTAGAAGCAACATTTCACATTTTAATTTTAAAATTAATGTTATGAATAAATGGTCTGAAAATTAAGGATACCAGAGGCCCATCTTGTGGCCACTATTTGCAATTGCAGATAGTTGGAATATGAGTACAACTGCTAAGTACAATTGCTGATACTTCAATAAACAAACTTAAAATAGAAAAAATTATACTTCAAATGTCAAAGTTGGGTTTTCTTTCATTATATCCATCTTGGAAGGATGTATGCCTCAGTGCAATAATTTTAAAAGGTTAGTATAATTATCAAAATAACAATAACTTAAAAATAAATATATTAATTTCTTTACTTCTTTTCTTTTTAAAAGACTGTGCTACATTCCAGAATGTGATTAAAGGTCTTCAACAAACTATAGAGGACCAATATAACTTGAGAGGTAAAGAAGTGCAATGTTATTTCGTAGAACGTTATTTTTCTTGGTTGAGAGGGAGATCCTATGCAGGTAGTCTTTGACTTTAGAACCATTTATTTAATGACAGTTCAAAGTTACAATGGCTTTGGAAAAAATGCTTTACAAACTGTGGTCACCTTTAAAACCATCATAGCACACACACACACCCAGAGTCACATGATGGCAATTTGTGTGCTCATGGTCACATGATATAACTTTTGAGCCTTTTTACCTGTTTCCAGCAAAAAAGCCCATTGAGGAATTTTGCCAGCATATCCAGTTGAGGGAGAATATGAGAATGAAAAGATTCGGGATTTTAAAAGTTCTTTTCTTCTCTTGTTTTCTTATGCAAGAACCCCTGAATTTTGATGGCCCTGCAGTTTTAAATCAGTGACATTCAAGTCAAGGATTGTTACTATTTTTTTTAGAGTTCAGAATAATTGGCAATTTATTTATCACCTTTATTTTGTAATATTAATATCTTTATATAGACGAAAATGAGCATCTCAAAAACACAATCCAGATTTTAGAAGAGAAATTGAAGACTCATGAAAAGGTAGGACCACTCTGTTTTCAGAACCTCTTGTTTCTGATTTCTAGGAAGATGATTTTCTGATTTTTATAGCAATTATTACTATGTTCCTTACTGTTCATTAATGACTTAAATACAAGCATATTAGATTGTTGGATTAATATTTAATGTCTTATTTGTGGCTAATAATAATAATAATAATAATAATAATAATAATAATAATAATAATAATAAT